AATATAATCCTTAATCTTACACGACTAAATCCTTATATTTCTTATTTTTAATATTCCCGCCATCTATATTTATATAATGACCCGAATCTTAAAAAAAAAAAAACTTTAAATATTCTTCTCGTATATCCGAACAACTACGTATTATTCCTGGTTAGTCTTTCATTCTATAAATATTTTTTACGACCAGATGAGTAATAACCTCCAATATATATATATCAAATTTAATATATTTTGAAAGGTCCCAAGACCTCTTCTTATATAATATCAAACACGTATTCCCGCCATAGAACTTCAGAGACTCCCATACAAATCTCATCTAAAAATATATAAGTGCCAATCTCGATAAATATACTCTTTGGCCTATTATTTCAATTAATACTATAATAATAACAACAAGAAAATATTAACATCGCGTAAATTTATTCTCTTACAAAAATTCCTCCCAACGATATCTTCCAGACTTAATTTCAAGATCTCAAATTATTTCTATTCACCTCCGCATAATATAAATCCTAAGAAATTACGAAATACATCGCCTTTTTTTGAAAAATAACGACCTTTCAAAAAAATTCCACCGAAAATCTATTCTAACAAGAAGACACAACAACAACAAAATTACAGACCATCATTTAAAAATATCAAAACGAAAATAATAAAAATTCTCAGAATCTTAATAGATATCATTTTAAACAATCTAATATCAATATAAATAAAACGATTAGCTTAACATATAAATTTTCAATACTTTTTATAGAAGAAATATATTTAACTTCACTAATTACATAAACTAATAAGACCACCGAACGAAATTTTGCTATCATCAACAAAATACCCAATGTAATAAGAATATCTCGATTCAAAATCATCGAATATAATATAACTTATAAATAAACATATCTATAAAATATATATAAGACTAAAAATAAACGGCAAATACAAATATATATTTATTCCTATTACGACCATATCAACAACAAATTAATAATAGATATATATCCTTCTCTTATTTTTGAGAAAACAAATACATTATATCATAATTATAATAAGGACAAATTTGAAAATTAATGTTCGAATCCACTTTGAAATTCGATTATTCAGATAAAAAAGTTTTCATATTCTTCATCATTAGAAAAATCATATCTCGAATATATGTAAAAGGTCGCAAAGATTGAATATGAGAGTTGTACTTATATTTTTTTACCGCCCGCGCACAGCCCCCGTCTGTTGTGCAGCCCCACCCCCATCCCGCCGCCCCAGCCCCCACCCCTGCAGCCCAGCCAGTCCCAGTCCCGCTCTCTGAAACGACACCCTTCGGAAAATTGCTGGGCTATCGAACCGCCCTGTCTTCATTTTCTGAAACCGTAGCGGTTCGATAGCACCAAATTTTCTGAAACGACACCCTTCAGACAATTTGATGCTATCGAACCGTCTTCACTGTTTTCATTTTCTGAAAACGATTTTCTGAAACGCCACCTGGAAAACTTGGTGCTCTCGAACCGCCCTTTTGCTGAGAATGCAGCAGTTCGATAGCACAAAATTGTAAGTACAGCCAGCATATATAAATTTGTCGACCTGCACCTGTTGGGGCTGCACAAGTGTAGAACATGCCCCAAGGGAAATGAATGCAAACCGTCACCAACACTCAGTAGCACTCTTGCTCTCCAGGAGGCATTTCCTCAAGTTTCCAGAGCTGCACACATCTTCTGAACAGCTTAAGGCGGAAGGAAAACTTTCAAGCCGTCGCAGGAAGACACTGCCAAAATACCATCACTGATTGCAGGGCCCGCCTGGAATGCGTTTCCAGTGTCAAACTCTGAAATCTCACTGCTTTCTGCTTCGAATTGTCCATCGCCGTTCTTGTCGTGAAGACGGGTGACTTTGCCCGACATAGCAGCCACAAACACGGCACCGCCCCGAGCGATGGAGGGATTTGCGAAGGAGTCTGTGGTACAGGCGTGTGTGGCAGTATCCCCAGCGGCCGCCCCGTCCCAGTCAGGAAATTGTATTCCCAAATGGTGTGGCCATCCAATCCAGAGCCACCACCTTGGCCGGACGGCGAAGATCCGGGCTGTTCCCTAAAGGGTCCACATCAATCATACTGCCGAACGAGTAGTCGCAGGATTTGTCCCGAGGGCGACTACAAGGGCCGACTCACCTTCAACGGCTGCGGCTGCGTTGCAACGGCCGGACCACAATTCGCCGGGTACTTCGGGAAGGCTTGTTGCCACACAAGATGGCCATCTTCTGCGGAGTACGCGAACATCAAACCTGTATGTGTCGTAGTGTTCACCCCCTCCTGGTTGCGGCTGACGTACACCAAAAAACCATTGGTGGCACCTGATGCATCTCCTGTGCCCGCGGTGGGCGCAGGCTGCTTCCAGACAACTTACCCATCCTTGAAGCGGAGGCGATAGACTGCCCCATGGGCATCGGAGAAGACGATGGATCCGTTCTGAATGAATCCAATCCAATTGCACAAATTGTGCTCGGGACGGAATGTCCAAAGCACAGCTCTTCTGCTAGCATTGATGGCAACCACCCGCGCGGCTCCGTCCATCTCTCCGTCGATCCAATCCAAGAAAGATACCAGGATAATGCCTTCACCTGCCAGAACGGAATGTGTTCCCCGCTCGCGCGTTCGCAGCCAGTTGTAAGGACTCCGTCCATGAGCACAGGGTTACCAGGTCGGGAGATGCCAAGGTTACTGTCGTACCACTGAATCTCACCTTGCTGTGAGAACTTCACCATGTCACCATTTATGGTTGGCTGGTAGATGGCAACCCGCGCGGTACCCCTTTCAAGGGAGCGTTCCAGGACCAGGAGGGACCCTTCTGCAAGTTAGTAGGTGGGATCGCCAGCGTTGCTCCGGATCGAATGACGTCCCCACCCTTTCGAATCCACTCCGTGTGCTCTGCAGACTCTGCCCTCACTGCCGACATTTCGCACTGCAGCATCTGCTGGAAATGGGTGCCGGGGTCAGCTTAATAGCACCAAGGACTTCAAGGACAACAGTCCTGCTGCTGAGCGGTGACAGGCAACACAATCCAGACCAAAGCGCGAAGAGCCATGGCTGCAGAAACGAGTTCAGTCAATCAGGCCTAGCGGGACGACTTGCACCACTGGCCAGTGGCTGCGGATCACACTCTGCAACAGGCTTTAACGTGCGTCAGGACGTTGCACCGTCCACACATCGACCTCCACGTCCTGGGCCTGCGGACACACAGCAAACGAGGATCGCCCTGCTTTGACGTTGAGCAGCTCGGACTTTGTGTCCTGTGAGAAGGAGACGCCGGGGACGGCTCTAGCCGTGAACACTTTCTCATGTGTACACAGAGTACTTGAGCGATGGCCGATCAATCAGCATCAACACGATTTGAGAGTCACGGTCAAGGCGCATCTCCACCATTTCAAAGCGTGAAACTCCTTCAGCAAAGTTACTGGGAACGTTCTGCCCGCTCCTTGCACCTTCTGCGCAGAGTGCAACACCGACCGAGCGAGTCGGGAAGGGCGGGAGCAACGACAGTACCAAGATCTCTGTTGCTTGTTTGTGGTTTTTGTAGCAGAGATCTCGAGAAGCACATGCAATGCCTGGTTCCCAAGAGCCGTCTGCCTTACGACACCAACTCCCTGCTAGGCAAGCTGACGGGCCTTTGGAGACTGGGCTCGAAGCGGGATCAAGCAGGGCCCCCTAATTTAGAGGCTTTGGCATGCTCTGCGCGCTTGCTCCGCTCGGCGGCGCGCTCTCAGGCAGCGCCCGCTGCATCTCTGCCAAGGCACCGAAGAAGGCACGTTTGGCCTTACAGACGCCGCGGCTTTGCACTTCACAGATCGGCAACACAGCTTCTGCCCACCTTTTGCCGCCGTTTCTTCTCGCCTTGCAGCCACAAATTTCTCCGCAGTGCGACCTCCTTGTCTCAGCATGTCTAAGCCACTCTTTGGCCCAGATACCGGGTGCGCAGAGGTGGCAGAACTGGCACTCCTTGCCGCTGGCACATCCCTGCCAGAGATCTTTGGCATGGCTTTCAGTACACTCCGTCTCAGACGTCGTCGTGTGCCTTGGTGGTGGCGAAGGCGCACGGCCTGGAGGCGCGAGCAGTTTCAGGTCTGAGAGCTGAGAGAAGGCCCTCGTGGTGAGCAGTGGCACAGCCTGCACTGGCCCTGGTAGTGTCCGGTGGACCCGGCACTCGGCTCACCGAGGATGTTTGCACCCTCGAGAGAGCAAAGTGTAAGTGTAAACTTTGCACAAACTTTGGAGAGCTGTGAGAGCGCTCTCTCCCGCCGCTCCTGCATGACAGTCGAGGCCGAAGCAGCAAAAGCATTGGCTGCTGCGACCTTGGTTTTTCTATTAATTGTGCTCCCGCAAGAGGAATCACTCCACAATGCTTCATATGCGCACCTGCTCCTCGTGGCTGGCACCGATCGCACCCGCAGCTGCGAGCGCCGCTGCCTGGTGGACCTTCGAGGCGGGTACCGTCAAAAGCCATGTCAACATATGGAGGGAAAAAACCCAGGCGGCCGGGGGCCGGGGCCCCGGCTTGGCTGACCTCTGGCAAGACAAAACAAAACAAACCGTTTCCCTTGGATGCAGAAACACTTAAAGGCTGTGCGAGGCCCAAACCGAAGCTTCCTCCTTCAGGGCCTCTTCCAAACGAAGCACCTGAAGAGAACGTAAACAAGTGGGCAGCGCCACACACCAGCATGGCCCAGCCTGAGGCGGAAGTGTCGGCTCCCAACCGGGTGGCAGAGGCTCTGGTGGCCCTGCCGGAACGATTCCTGCTGTCAGAAGCAGTCAAAACAGGCTGTGCTGCGTTCTGACGCGCATTGCCTTCTGCGGGCAGGAAGTAGCCGCAGCTGTAGCTGCTGTAGCTGAGATCGGGAGCCAGGGCCTCGGAGAGCACAGGGTAGTTGCAGCTTTCCCCTCTTTCCCGGGCGTGGGGAGCGTTCGAGACTCCTGGGCCGAAGGCCCAGCAGGCTTTGTAGGAGTGGTGACCAAGGTTCCCCAGCCCCAAGATTGTGCGCAAAAGCATTCGTTTGTCATGAGCGGCTCTTTCTTTCGCTCGCTCTCTTTCTTTCGCCAGGGCTATGGGCTAGAGGGAAATCCCCCTAGCCCGCTCTCTCACTCTCTCTCTTCCTCCTCCTTCCGGGCATATGGGTCGGGTCGCGCCGATGCCGGTGGGGCAGCAGTCCTCCGCTCGCCTCCGCAGCGGTGCCCTCCGATCTCCCGTGGCAGAACCCAGAGCTGGAGGTCGCGTAGTTGGTCGATCGTCCGGCACAGAATGATGGCGTGGCAGCACAAAGCACGGCTATCTGCTTCCCCCAGTTGAGATCCTCTCTTTTTGCAGTTCGTTTGGAACCCACTCCCCCTGCGCTCTCGCGCTACGCCACTGGTGTGAATCACACCCTGAGGTTCGGCACCTGTAATCTCACCTCTCCCTCTCACCTCTCCCCTCTGCAAAACCACCCTTGTCCCCTTCGTTGGTGCCCTCTCTCTGTGCTGAACGTGCGCTTGAATCCGCGGACATTGCCGGGGGCAGCGGCTCGTAGAACTCGCTTGGGGTCCCCTTTCTGCAACGGCAGGCACATCTGAAGCGTCAGACAGAACTAAACCACACTCGAAACACATGACCTTGGTTTTGGGGTCCCCCTCTTCTTTGACTCCCAGCCTTTCTCTCTCGCTCTTTCTTTCGCCAGGGTAACGGACTAGGGGAACGCCCCTGGCCCGCGCGCTAGTGCGCCCCCGGAGTCCCTCTCTCTCTCGCTTTGCTGCGCTCAAATCTGTGCTGCTTTCTCTGCGAGTGAATCTGCTGGGAGGCTCGCGTTAGTGTGCTGCGCCCCTTCGCTAGGAAGGGGAAGTTCTGAAAGCCGCACGCCGAACCTGACACCACGGAGAGAACTGCCCAAAAGGAACCTTGCATACACCAAGAAGCTCAAGCTTCTGCAACTTCTGTCGGATTCGCGAAGTGCTGCGCCCGTGCTGCACTTGCTTGGGGGTCGGCTTGGGCAGAGAGAAGTCTGAGACGTCGGGCGGAGGAACCTCTGCAACAAAACCCTCAATAAAAAAACCATTCCCGCTTCCCCCGCTACAGCTCGTCCCTGTGTGGCCCCTTCCGTATCCGAGCACTCCGAGGGTGAGGCAGTCTGCGCTGTGGGCGCTGCCGGCGGGAGCGTTTGGAGGCCGTCGGTGCAGGAGGTGCTGCAGTCCGAGCTCTCCGCATCTTCGGGCGGAGCCTACGAGAGCACGGCCACGGCACGGTAGCTTTTTCGGAACCAGACCAGCGCCTCTGGTACGGCCTTGTCGGCCCTGACGGTCGGGTATACCCAGAAGCCCAGAAGCTGCGAAGACCGCTGACTCTGAGCTCTCGGCTCAAACACCTGGCGAGAGTCACGCGCGGGGCGCGCCGCGTCGGCAGCAACTCGGGATCAGGCCTCTACTCCACTCCCAGGCTCTGAGATCCGGCTCACAGGGCAGGAGAAAGCCTCCGCACGAGAGCCCAGGGACGCATGCCCAGCCCCAACTCTATCGACTCCCCTCACAAATCCGGCCTGGCGCTCATGCAAGAAGCCCTCCGTCAGGCAGTCACGTCCTAAGGGGTCGTCGATGAAGGTGTTCCGCACCTGCCAGGTAGTGTCTCTAGAGATGGAGAACAAGGGAGGGCGTGGTGGAAACCGCGCTCCGCACCAGCAGCGGCCCAGGGTACAAGTACCTCAAACAGAAACGACAAATCGCTCTGTCAGTAAACTCAGGAAGTCCTGATGCCAAGGCTGCTGCGACTGCTGCCATGTCTCAGTCATAACCTTCAGGTCTCACAGCGACGAGAGATATAGGCATCACGGGCCATCCGAGTCCGAGAGTCGCGTGGGGCGACGGCAGTGGCAGAGCCGAGCTACACGGCGGGTCTCCATGAGCCCGCACTGCGGCACTGAAGCCCAGAACTTCCCACACTTGGCTCCGGCATGCTCCGGCCTCTTCTGACACCCTTTGTTTCCCTTTTTATCTGCTGTGGTCGCTGGAGCCCTCGTGCTCCTCGCGGTGCTCTCGCCTCTCAGTTCTCATCGCGATCAAGGAGGGCAGAAGCGCCGCGGTCACGAGGTATTCTCCTCGGCTCGATGACCACGACTGGTGTTCAGTGCCAGTAAAGTAGCAAAAGCGGAGTTTAAATGCAGAGAGAAGTATCAGCTCTTTTTTCAAAGCCACAGTGTAGCTCTTCACCATGTAGAACCTTAAGGCGCAGAGCAAAGGAGCTAAGATTGGCCCAAGTTAGGACCTTTGCTGCCTGTTCAGTCAAGGTCACGTGTAGCGGGCAGACGCGTTGTAGATCGTGGAGAGCAGCACGCAGGCGCAAAGGCTGACCTCAGCTTGAGACAAAAGGACAGGACTTTCGCTGCTCTTTGAAAAATTTGCTCTTGGCCTTCTTTTTCTGTGCACATGCAGAGCTCAGCTCCGCACGTGGATCCACTGACTGCTGTAGCCTGCCCGATGTACGCGGACAGCATTGTCACATTCGCTATACCGTCGACTTACTTGTTCGGTGATGCTTGCTGCATGTTTATTTACACATGTGCTAGTGCCGCGTACATCTCGTGGCTGCCAATCGAAGCTAGCAAGCGACACTGATGCAAGCGACCGACCGGTAAACTTCCTGCGCCACTGGCGAGATGCAACACCGACCGGGCCGCCCCTTGTTTGCTGTTTCCTTCTTTGGCATAATCTCTCGAGTCCTCACCTCACATGGCTTTCAAGGCCAAGGAGCACAGCAGCGACACCGGAATGCTCGCCAGGACCTCGCTAGCGGATGAACCGAACAAGTGTCATATGAAAAAAATCACTAGAAGATTCGAAGATGTGCCATGGAAGTCTCCACCATCCAGATGCTGATTTGCCCCAGCGGCCGATGCTGCATGCAAGGCCATGTAGACAAAGACGTAGGCCAGCGGAAAGTCATTGCTCTGAGCGTAAGCTGCATGGACCTCAAAGCACGGCGAGAGACAGCAACTGTGAGAGCTCGAAGAGCGAGGAGAGCTAGGCTGAGCTAGGGGCCTCTGGTTGCTGGCGCAAGATCTTTGCCACGACGCTTCCGGCGGAACCTCGCATCGCCCAGTGGAAGATCGTGTCCTGAGGAGGGCATCACCTCTATGATCTGGTCTGCCTGCTTGCGGCGCTTAGGTTTCTAGCCGGGCAGCATATCCATGCTTGGGGCATCGCCGACCAATAGCGAGGAGCCAAGAAACGTAGAGCAGAAACCAAACACCGTACACAAGGCAGGCATTGTACAGAATCTCCATCCTGAAGCGCTGCGATTGAAACTGCCGAGTCCCCAAAACTACTCAGAAGGCACGTTGCATCTTGCTCTTATACTTGTAGCTCCTTCGTCTTCAATCGCCTACTTCGGCTCCACAACCGGCCCTCCGGTCACCTTCGTCCGGTGTTGTTCTTGTGACTCCGCTGAGGGACCCTGAAGTACGGAGCAAAATCCCACACCCCGCTGCTGTACTTGTCCGAGCGGCGGATCGAGGGACTCGAAGAAATTACACCTTCACAGTCACGTCAGCATCTTCGTAGTGTCGAGAAGTGATTCCGCTGCTCCCTCGTCTAGGATCACTGTCTCTCATCTGCGATTTGCCATGGCGCTGCAGGAAGATGCGGGGCCATGCGGCATGAACGTCACCCCGCTTCCAGCCCAGTTCGTACATGACCAAAGAAGGGAACCTCAGAATCTGTCATCTCGCGCTTTAACTTTATGAGCTTCAATGCTTGAACATCGTTGCTCTAGCGAATATAGTTTGGAACAGCATACTTTACAAGTAGGGGAAGAAAGCGCAGTCAGTCAGCAAGTCTTGCAGACTTGCCCACATTTGCACACATGGATGTATTGTGCAGTTGAACAGTGTCTGTTTTATTGGCAGTGCGCATGCAGCACTTCTGCATGAAATGTGCCTACAGCATGTCGTTGGCATTCGCGGAGCAAGACATCGCGCAAAATCAACAGGTCCTGCATTCGGCTCGTACAAATGTGTCAAAAACTGGGTATATGATTTGCCGGCCGGACTACAGCTGCAGTTTGAAATTCAGGTCTCGCCATAGCTTCGCAACATTCGCAACGCTTTGCAGATCGCCCACAAGAGCTGTTGCAGACGACGTTGAGCCCCCAACCAAAAAAGGCAAAGCACTAGCAAAGCCCAAAGATGCACGACATTAGTTGGTGGAACGTGTTGAAACTGCCTTGGCAGATTCAACGGAAGAGTTGAATCAAAGTCCGTCTTGTCTTTCTCGGAAGCTGTTGAACATTATTCATGAGATAGTGAGGGCATGTCGCAATTTATTCGGAAACGGCTCATAAATTGTAAACCGCAAGTCATCCAGATGTCTCCGGAGCGGATTCCATGGACAGACGAAATTATTTTTTTGCTCCACGAGCATGCATGGTCTGCTACCGAAGAAACGACAGACGTGCCCACATGGCTCATTAGTTAACCTTGGCAATTCAGCCGTCAGCCAGACTTGCAAGATCTGCAAAAGCAATGGGCCTGAGGGCTGTCTGGCCCTGCGCATTATTGAGCCTCTGCATCAATATGCAGTAGTGATCAGTAGTGGTAGGCGCTTCTACATGTACGTTTGAAGCCGTGGCACACTGCAGTGTGTCAGAAACCGTACATGCAAACCATGGTTGCCTGAAATTAAAATGTGGTCAGCGAATGTATGCTTGTGCACCGTCGTTCCGTTTCATGATGATTTTGCCCTTCCCCTCCATACAGCACAGACAGCAGCGAGACACGACTGCTGGAGACATTCTAATCACTCCATATTCTTGGAACTCCGCGCTTGGATCAACTGCGACAGTTATTTCGATGCGTTCTCACGTTGGAGGTTTTCGGCGCTTTGATCGGCAATGCGACTTGGAGATTCATAGGGGAAATTCAACAGCCGGGGTTTTGGCAAGGTCTCCTCGGTATGTTCCACGAAGTACGTCTAGTCTAGGGCAATATGACCCCGTCATCAACGTGTAGCTGTAGAAGCCCGAGGGCAAATCTACACCAGGTCTCCGATTTGCATTGCATCACTTGAGCTGCGCCTTGAGGACTCAAAGAGAGACATGCAGCGCTGCTACGGGGCGGGGCTGAGATGATCCTTGATGAGCGTTGGATTGGCGAGTCTGCAGTTCTGCAGTATTCTGCAGTTCTGATCCAGTAGCTATATCGGAAAGCTTCTGTAGATTACTGCAGTTGATAGAAGCATCTAGTTCGATTCATCAAAGTCAACATCACCTGGAAGACTTAAACGGAGTACTTGCTGTGCTCCTTGAACATCATGACTCGTGACCAATCACATTCGTTCTTTTGTGTTCCCGAAGCCTCTCAGGTCATCCACGCTAACTCAAACGAAGTGGCTAGGTGGGCTTAACCTACCAGAATCGAACCAGCTTAGCCAAAGGATTACCGATTGTCGATTAAAGTCGTTAAGCACAGAAGTAACACATTTTCATACCCAGAGTGAGTAGAACCATGATTGCCAGGGTGCAGGTGGATCAAGACCGCGCAAACGTTGTCCTAAGAAAGACTGGGTGGTGCTGAGCGTGCGGGAACAAAGAGCTGCCGCCGCTGCCGAGGATCGAGATCGTGGAAGAGCAATGCATTGCCCAAGGCCGTGGTGGCGCAGAGCAATGTCCCTGTGCCTCGAGGCCCGCGTGTTGCATCAAGAGTGGCAAGTGCCTCCAGGGCACCTAATCCCCAGCTGGCACACATGCACCTCAGCACATAGCAGAAGGTACCCTGCTCTTGGGCCGCTTCAAGAATCTAAGGTCCAGCGCCATCTCTGAATCTCGGGCGGGATCGTAAATACCATAAGGGCCAGCAGCAAGAAGACCTGGACTGCACCCAAAAAAAGATCGTGGAGGCCTTGAAGCCGACCCGCCCACGACTTCCCTTTCGTCGGCATGATTAATGGCTCATTCCGCACTTCTTCTTGACAAGACATACTGTCGTCCACGCTTCTTCTTGATAACGGACAGCTTGCCGCACCCCTGTGGAAAGCCGCCAGTGTAGATTCTCATGCTCGCCACGGCGAGGCAAGTGTGACAAGCTGCAGAGGTCTCTCTTCACAGCATCTCGATGGACAGCCGGCGCTGGGCGCCGGGCGCCAAAGAAATTTGCCATCCAGCAGAAGTCGAGCCAGTACCTCTGCATGATTCCGCTGTGTTCACCCTGCCAGATTCTGAGAAAGATGTTACACAGTCTGCTGATGTGCATGTGACACACTGTGATGAACAATTTCGACCACCACCGAGCTCGAAACGACTTGCAAGGGGGGCGCAGGTGCTGCTTCGGAGAGGCACGGATCATCTTCCTCCAGCGGATAGGCAGCAGCACGCAGACCTGGCTGCAAATTGGGCAACAAGCTAGTTGACATCAAAAGGTGCGTTAATGTTCGTTATCGCGTGGATTTATCGATTCAGAGAGCAGAGTTTGGATTTGGCTCGATGAAGTCTACAGATCTGGGGTACGTATTCATTCAAACTGCCCCTCAGGATCATAACGGGCGCCACAGCGACGGAGGTATGATGCCGAGGCTATGACGACGGGAAGAAACAACACAATCACGATGACAGCGCGAGGCTTCAACGAACGTCGTCGGCATGCCGGCATGCGCTTGTCACAGCATCATGAACTGCATCTGCGCAAAATCCACCCTTGCCAATCCGGCACAGCTAAGATGGGAATCGAAAATTTCGTGGCGACCGATAGGAACAAGTCCGATACTTTTGTTCCCGGGCTCGCATTTTGAGCCGAGTTTGGGCCTCCGTGATGTAGACCTTGGCAGGGCGAGTTTTTGTGGCGGAAATGAGTTCTGACATGCCCCCAACTCTGCCGAGCAGCGATCCAGAAGTAGCCGGGAAGCGCTCCGAAGCTCCAAGCTACGAAGAGCCTCTCCAAAGCGTTTGGAGCTCTAAAAGCAGATCAGCTTTCCTTTCTCGAGCCGAAGGCACGAGTTCGCCACCCCGAAGACGAAGTTCTTCTTGGTCATCCCCTCTCGCTACGCCGCTACGCAGGCTCTGAAGCTCCATGCCTTGGGCCTTTTGCGCCGGGCCTGGTCTTCCAGCTTCCTCGCCCGCTCCTCCACCGCTGCCAGGCACCTCCGCACCTCACAAAGGTCGACCCTGGAGAACAAGCTGCCGGGGAGGGGGCCAGATCCCTAGCCCTACAGTAGCCTTTTTAAAGCTGCGGCCCAAAGGCAAGCTCCACCTCCCGAGCACTGATGCCCGGGACAGTTTCTTCCAGCAGCTTCTCCGCAAGAGGCGAAACCGCCGAAGCTTCCGCGTGACCTCTCCGGGAATGGATCCACAGACTTTCAAGAAAGCGGAGCTGGAGGCGGAGGCGCTATGCTTCGAAGGGAGAAAAGTTATCCGAATCGTTTTGATGTTTCAGCGTGTCATTTTTCGGATTATCTGCGTCTGTGCTCTTTGTTGTCTGCGTCTTTCGTTTCTCGGTTTGGTGGGACCTGCCAAGCTGTTGGGTTGCTCACTGGGTTATCCGCGTCTTTTGTTGGATTATCTGCATCGTTTACAATGGTTTTTGGGATTCCTCCAAGCTTATTTTACGCCTTGACCGCTTCTGACCTAACTTTACAATGGGGTTGTCTGTTTACTGTTACCGGCAGAAGCACGAACTCTTTTGTTCACTTGAACCAAGGAGTAAGCGTAGGTAAGACAAGTTCGTGTACAGTAATAAGTACAACTAGAGCAAAAACACACCCCGCGCATTGGAGCGCAGCGGAGGAGGACTACACGAAACTCTACGCTGCGCAACGCAAAGTAGATATGAAAAATATGTGCAATGCTACCTCCCAAAGTTATACCGACCCGTCAATGTGATGTCGCACAGGCATGGCGAGCTGTGGCTATAAGGCGACCAGCACGCCATTGCGGTGCAAAGCAGAAAAAATAAGTAGGCCTGCACGCTGCTAAATATGACGCCCACACTTGATTTTGTGCAGATGTGCGATCACCTTCCGGCGTCGGACGCCATAGGGGCTCACGCACCGTAGTAGATGCGATGGCTGAGGCGGGTGTTGGGGTCAACACGGTACTCGCCCCACCCACGGATGAACCAGACGATGTGATGAGCATCGTGCTCGACCAAGACCCTCCGGTCGGTGTAAGCGGGAATAACGAATGGAGACTGAGGCGGCGGAACTTCGTCCAGGTACGTGGTCGCAACAGCCCAGCACCACGGGCCAATCGAACAGTCCACCTGATCATCCCTCCATCAGGGAATATTGGGAATATGTCCCTGAGATGCTCGAATTGCTGAGCAAAAGCTTCGTCGCAGGCGTAGTTGCTCCCAATTGCCGTCTGTGTTGGCGGGACGGCGTGGGGACCTTCTGTGCAGGCCCTCCGGCGGCTGAATCTTCACGACCCGGTGGCGGAACTGCGCGATTAATCATATTAGGTTTGGAAGCAGGGGGGCCCAGAGCCAGAAATGAACAGTTTCAATGCAGACGGTAGAAATACTTGGAAATCAACGGTTTGGGCCGGAACCTGCCTTGAACCCTCCTGGTGGTTATCGAACCCCGTCCTAGATGCAACCACCATGTCCTTGCTGCTAGCTCGTGCACTGGAACCCGATACCGGGCGGCACGAGCGCCGGAGTGGAGAAAGTTGCACTTGTCCCCACGATTGCAAACTCCCTGTTTGAAGAACTTGCGTTCCTTCCTCTTCGCTGGGGCTCGGTTTACTCCTTGCAGGGTTCGGGGTTTGATTCAAAGCTATCTTACTCCTCTTAGAGTTTCGGGTGTGGAGCTGCAGCCATTACGAGCGGGTTGCCCCCGTGCATCCGGGAGCCAGATGCAGCCTCGTGGTGGTTGCGCTCAGCTTCCCGGGGGTGGCAAAAGTAGGTTTACGCATATGGGTTTAGGGTTTATGCTTTCTTTTCGGGTTTCAGCCATGGGACAATCCAGAAAAGAACCGCTTGTGGATAACTGCATAAAGAACGAATGGCTCGTTCATGGTTCGGGGCTTAGGGCGCCGTAACTCTTTAGGTTTAAGCCTGAAGCTAGAGTCTTCTCACTCGTTTTAATCATACTAACTGACCTTACTTGATCCCTCCATGACGATACCTGTGACACCTTGAGGACCAACATCCACACCGCAGGGTTGGATAGTGCGAATGATGCGCACCTGGCCCTCGTCGCCTTGAGGATGGTTCTATCCCGTCACGGGCGATGATGACGATGAAGAGGGCGAAAACCAGCTCAGAATTTAATCGTGAGGGCAGCTGCCTCCTGTGCCGATCTTTCCACTTCACGCAGCTTTGCTTGGCAGGACAAATCTTCTCGCTCTCAGAATGGATTACTTGGTTTCCAGAGCGTCTCACTGTTTCGCACATAGCTGCCCTTGGACGAATCGGCCCGGTGATGAACCAACCACCGAAGGATCTCGAACAAGGTCTTTCCAGACCCCCATGAAAGTTGTTTTACAACAATTGAGGAACTTGAGATAAAGAGTTACAGCACACCGGTTGTTCCATCAACACCGCAGATCAATGGCCTTTTGCTGGCTTTCTGTTTGGCCATGCTGGCCATCTCTGTCACGGCCTCAGTCTTGCAGCGCGCGAGTTCAGCAGTGTTCGGAGTTGGCCATGTTGGCTCCGTTCCGCCTTCCGCAGTCGATTTTATTGAATTCAAGATGACGGCCGAATGTCCGCTCCCGGCGGACGTCTAACGTCTATGTAGATGCACCTCACACTCACCTGTTGTTGTCCTGCCTTGCAAACTTGAAATGGCAGCAATCCACTGTGGCCTGCGCCTACCGCCTCGTTTCAGTCTGCATTCACGGAATGACATGCTACAGGCAGCAAAGGTTTTGCTGGACACAACCAATTTTCGGCTCTTTCTGCGGTACTCCCTGGAGCTGAGCAGGGCATCTTCCTATGCTACTCCCTCAGACTCCCTCCATCCCTGAGCCTACCTTTTGCTGTGGTCGAGCTCCTCGCCCTGCAGATACTTGAGCAAGGGCAGTGCTCTTCTTTTAAAGTGCTACGGCCTTTCACACTGCAGGAGCGTGTCTTGCCCGCCTCATCGAGGCTCGCACTGAAACAACACCCCGAGGGCGCAGAACACAACACTAAACACCCTTCAAGAGCCACACTCACTGGCTTGTGCACCGGCGGGAGAAACGGGTAGAAGACACCGAGGTCAGGGCGAAGAGCCACGCGCAGAAGGCAACGTCCCATCCACACTCGTATCAGCCAAGGGCAGTGTTCGTCGATTTGGGGATCTGTACAACAGGTTGAGAGTGACCCAGGCATAGAAAAATGTATGACCAGCCGCGAGCACTTGGCATTTACTATTTACGTGCGCCAACAGCAGCTGGTAATTCCCAACGTCTGCACATTGCTCTGCATATTAGTATCCCACTTGTGTCCGCACAAAGTCTACTTGCGATGCTGAACACTACGGAGCAAGCGGGCTTTCGGATACAACATCCAGTCGGCTGTGATTTCCATGAAGTCCGAGGCCAGATGTGCAGTGGCAGCTACTTTAAGCTGCAAGACCAGTATCTCAGTTTTTTGCCGACACGGCTCTGCATGCCACTCGGCACTGGGAACATTTTGATCGCTGCACATTGGCTGCTTACACGGGCCCTACTTAGCCGAATCGATGCAATAGGCACTGCAGAGATTGGCTTCCATCTTCCAGAAAGGCCCAAGTTGTCGCCCTGTATACCTAGATTTTTTGCCGACGGTTGCGGCGCAGGGAAACTGAGACAGCTCAGGAAGGCAACCCTGTCGGGCGTAGACGATGCAGCAAAAGCCGGAGCGCAATGCATGCTCTTGCCATACACGCATTGCAGCGCGTTTTTCGCCATCCTGCTGTGTGTGCTTTGAGCCCAAGTCACAAGCGATGGCAGGCAATGCTGCCCCCACCACAGGTCTGGAGGTGGCGCAAGTGGTAGCACCTCGTCCTTAGTTACGGCGTTGGAGGAGCCACCAAGGCGCGCCGAGCGAGGCTGCCACAGGCGATTTGCTCAAGGCAAACATCGCCATTGCTGTTGGATCTGCCGCAGCCCAGTGGACAATACCCGGAGAACACTGCAGCGTGGAACCGTGGCATATCTGTTGTTGCTCTGAATGCAGAAATACAGGTGGCAGCTTTCATAGTTCAGGAGAATGGGTGGCGAGATCACTTCGGAGCCTGCTGCCTTGGTTCTGCCGTCTTCTAGGCCATCGAATTCCTCAATGCCGAGCATCGCCACTTTTGAGAGGCGAGTCAAGAAGCAAAAGGTCGACCAGAAAGGTCCGTCATCGACAGATGTCCGATTGATCTAGATGCGCTGGACTAGTCAGTTAGTGTTTTGTGAAAGGAGCCATGCACCAAACATGGTGCTGCCACAAAGCAGCCGGATCAATGATCTGCCCTGCCCATCGTGAAGCACAAGCATTCCGTGCGATGGCGCTGAATGGATACTACTGCTACTGCTGCTGCTA